GCTTGCCTCAGCCCTGGGTCTGTGATCTCTGCTCCACACACCATTGTATCATATAGATAAACTAGTTGCCTCTTTAGTTCATTAACACTAAAATATTTTCCAGACCTGCTTGAAAACTTATTTTTGCCTTTGCTTTCTTCTAATTTCTTAAAGGACAAAAATATTCTTCTAATGCCTCCTTCCTAATACTTACAGTGTAGGACAATTTGTTTTTTTAAGGATCTAATTTTAGGTCTATGACATACTTTTATGTTCATCTCTTACACAGCTCTTTGCAAAAGGATTCAGGAAGTAAAAGCATAGGTATATAAACTGTCTTCTTCAGGTCATTCAGCTGCAAAGCTAATTTGTCTGAATTTTAATCCCAGACTGCCTTCCAGGCAGTGCCTCCCCCTCTTCACAGGTACGGTTGCAATACTTGCTGCAGTAGTAATTTGCCTCAGACAAATAAACCCCCAGACCAGGAGACTCCAACCTACAAACATGCATTCCCAGGAACTGGTACAGATGCATGGAACAGACTTGGGGTAGGTGGGGAAAACCTCTGCAGCAGATTGAGCAAGACTTTTGCAGCTCCAGTGAGGTCACTGGGATGGGTCCAACAACATGGAAGTTGGGGCAGTTGAGGCAATTTTCCAAGTGATCATGTGGGAGAAAGAGAAAAGGGAAATACTGACTTTTCTCCATAAGAAGAAACATTCTTTACACAGCCGGGTTTGGACAGAGAAGGCTCTGTTTTGTAACATTTCATATCTTTCATTGTTTTATGTACATTACATATTTTAAGAATTGGATAACAGGGTGCTTTGGGTTTTGTTTGTTTGTTTGGGTTTTTTTGTTTGTTTTAATTTAAGGACATTAAATAGATGTTGCATTTTAAAAAGTTGTTCTAGTTGGTCCAGCTGGTGTAATTTGTTTTTACCCTTGGACCAAACCTTTGGAAACCTCAGCATGTCCTAAATAAACCAAGATTATACTCAAAGCCTCTGAACATATAAATGTCCATATACGTGTTCGACCATTTGTGTTGTAATTACATGCTGTGTTCAGGCCACATTCCCTTTGCTCATGCTGTCCAAGCCAAAAATGTCAAATGAGTGTTACTATCAGAGGTGGAATCACAGAAGCTGCTTGAGAAAGGATTGCCTGACTCTCAGGATGTAATATGAGATGGCAGGGGAAGAAAGGCAAATAAGGTCAAAAGGTTTGAGGCTGCAGTGCATGCCCTAATCTCCAAGGGACTCATCCTTCGCCCACACAGCAACATCACCAGCAACCTGGTAAGCAGCAAATGATCACAGAGTATAGAATACATTAAGCACTGCTTCCTTATAGAAGGACTGGCTGGCTTTCTAGCAACAGCCAGTCTCTCCTACTCTTTTACATAGTCCTCCCTCTCCTGGCACTGAAGATCTGCCAGCCTGCTGAAGCTAAGCCCACAAGCAGAAGTTGCTCATGTAGCAGCTGCTCCATCGAACTCACAAACTCAGTTGCCACAACACTAGAGCAAATACTGGAAGTTTGTACTCTTGTGGAGAAATCAAGAAGGATTGGCCTTCTGTTCTCCTTATGCAGAAACCCTCTCAGGAGAACAAACAGTTCCCCTGGTGTTATGGAACAACCATTTCTCCAAGCCCTAGAGTCTGGGTACAAAATAACGCATGTGGTCAGACAGATCTGGATGCTACAGTAATACTGCTTTTTGAGGTCTGGAAGGCAGAGCACAGCCATTCCCCAAAACCATGAAGCAAGCCTCAGTGGTGTTAATGTAGCTAATACATCCTTTTCTGACTCATGGGTGAAAAGAGTTTTACCTTCTTATTTTGCATCTTTCAACATCTCCTTTTCCAGCCTCCAGTAAGGGACGAATTTACTGGTGCAGCTGCTTCCCTGCTGTCCAAGAAACCATAACCACAATAAATCATAGTGCACCTTCACTCCCTGAGCAACCATGTAGCAAGCAAGCTACTGTTTGTGTGCCGTTTATTTGAAACAGGAAGCCATTACAGAAAATAAACTACAGCCAGCTGAGGTGAAACGTGCTAATAAGGATTGCCTTAGGGTTTCTCCTCAGGAAACGGCAATTCTTATAGTGCAGATCTCTCGTATGTATCGGTACTCATCAGAGCAGTTTGATGAAAGCAACTGGGCAGAAAGCAGTGACACTATCTCAGCTTATCACAGCTGCATGCGGTTTTTTGTTTATTTTTGTTGTCAAAGAACAGGATTTGTTCCTTGGCTTCTCCAGAAAAAATATTTCTTAAGATCTGGAATTCTTATTTGGTACCTTCAGAAAAGAATATGACCTCACCTCTACCATCACATAGGTCTCACTAGAGACCTAATGTTACCTTGTCTCCTTAGATAGGTGCTTCACAAAATCTGAGAGGGTAATACCATACAGCTAAGCCTACAAGGGGCTCAAGGAAACCTGAGGTGATGAGAAGTAAATTATTTTGTCACCACTCAGGATCTTTATTATTCTGAACATGTCCACCCTAGAGACCAAGCTTTGCCTGTGACTTCTAGACCAATGTCCACAGCTCGATCTAGGCAGGTTGAGGAATGTGTGAGATTTTTAACACAAATGGCTAAGGGAGTGAAAAAAAAAAAAACACGTTCAATTTTCCTGCCAGAAATGTTTTGGGGTTTTTTATTTTTACTTTTTCATTCATTGATGCTTGTAATAGCAGAGGGAAAAGGAAGGTGACAGTCTGGAGTTCCCACTCACCAGCCAACACAAATATGTTCCCCTTTCCTCACATCTGACTTTTTTTCTTGAGCCAAAGATTACTTGGTTACAAAGGATGGCCACCCAAGGCTACCGCAGTGCCCCCTAGTGAAAACCCGATAAAAGTAAACCTTACTTTATCCAATATTGGCTGTTCATTTCTTTTGCAAACAACTGTTGGCAATTAAAGCAGGACCCTTTGTCCTACTGTTTTGTAAACAGTCTGGACTACTAGTCAACATGGAGATGATATTCAGATCTGTCCTTCATTGCCATCAGACCAGATGCTGATCTGTCTTTGTTTTTCCATTGCAAAATTCAGATCAGGAGTTGGATAAGACTTAAATGACTGAGATTTAACCCAGACAAGAGTCAGTTGCCATTTATGGAGGGAAGGAAGAGCTCTGAGTCTACAGAAGGGTGTGTCATGCTTTGGTACTCAAATTTCCTCTTAGGTTTCTAAGGAATTAAAAAATTAGGACAGTGGTTTGGCCCTCTAGATGCTGCAGATTAGAATGGGATTGGTTGGGTTGACACAGAGATGTTTTAGTGAAGGAGGTTCTCTGGAGTAGCTGTTGTTGAAGGAGCAATGCCTCTAACACATATTTGGAGCTGAATATTCCCAGCAGCTGTGGAGAAAAATCTGTTTTTTCCTCAGAAGAGGTCTGTATACAGTATTTGTGAGAACTGAACTCCTTATCACAACAGGGAATGAATCTTCTCTTCCCTCTGAAGTCTCCAAAAACAAGCTCTAGAGCTTACAGCTTGGAAACAATCTGCTTTCCCAAAAGGCACAATAGAGTTCTGATGTTTTACTTTAAATATTTATGCTGATTAAAATTGGAGTTTAATAGTTGCATGGATTCCTTTTAGGGTTGTGTTGTTGTTGTTTAATTAAAATAAGTGTGTTAGCAAAAGTGAAGAACATCCTTAAACCGCATAGTGATTATTTCATGGAAATTAACCCCTTTTTGCTTTTTTTCCATTTCATAGATAAGGTGATGTCATTCTTCCAAAAGGTAGGGATTTTTTTTTTTTCCCGTATGCAGATCTAGTTCTGATTTCCTCACCTATTAATGTGTCATCCTTGGAAAGATAAATTCTTGTCTACAGAATTAAGAGCTTTTATGACGACAGTTGGTGTCATTATACAGTAAGAGACACAAATCACCTCTATTATACAGTAAGAGAAAAGTAAGGTACATGAAGGTATAACAACTCATCCAGTATCATCCAAGAGGCTGATAGAAAAACTTGTCAAGAACCTGCTATTCTGAGCCCCAGGTCAATGCCTTGTCAGTGAGTCCCCAGTAATAGTAAGGAACAATTAAGCATTCATACAGCCTTAGCAGAATTGCATAGCTCTTCATTGCTTCATTCAGCCATTGCCCCCCCTACAAAATCAAACCCAAACCCAAATAGCAGACTAGAAAGGAACCAGATATAATGAGGGAGACACAGGAGACTGGGGTGGGGAGGGGGGCATCTGAATGCTTGGGTTTTTTAGCAGATTCTGGTTCCTTTAAATATCTGTGAATTTCAGTATCAGAACCATAAATCTTTTGGGAAGTTTCCTTTCTCTACTTCCAGCATCTACCAAACTTGTGCCAAATACCAGAGGAGAAAATAAAGCAAAAAAAAGGAAAGGACATCATCACTAGCTTTTAAGCAAGCATCTTCTACATAATCCAACAGTCCTAAAGCATTTCATATGTTACTATCACACACTGAAATACAAATATGTGACAACTATATATTCTCATAATGGCAGCTGAAGCCTAATAACACCACAGGCTACTTTCTCTTTGTTGTACATGCTAGTCTTTAGGGTAGGGTTGTAGGCATTCCCAGGCACCTTGCACAATGCAGACATTTTTGTTTACTACTACTGGGTATCTGCCTGGTGACTGCAAAGGCTTTTGCTTTAAGGTTTCATGACTTACGATTTTTGTTAATGCAGGAGAAAAATGAGGAGGGGAGAGAAAGGAAAAAGTGACAAAAATGTAGGTTTGGTTCTTGGGATATTTCATATATATTTGTATTATAATAGAATACATATATCATTTTACCTTTATGCGCTTATGCATGTGTATTTTTCTATTTGTCTAAGTAATTATTTAGTTGACCTGTTTAATGGAGAAAAAGAATTCCAGAGTTGGGAGGGATGCATTTTATCTATATGTATAGATATGTATAAAGGGATGTAATTTCAGAGCAAATCTAAAACTCAAAGTTTTCTCTTAAATAGATTTTCATGTTTAAATCTTACCTCTGCTCCATCTGTGGGTCATAGTGGCATGAGCACTGTAATAGAACAGCAGCAGCAGCAGCGTCTTCCAAAGCATGCTTCTCTTTAAAATATGTATGTCTAGCTCTATAGTAGCTTTTTAATTTCCTACCTCCTTTCTTTTTAGGAATAAATAAATAGCTTTTCCTCTCCCCCTCCCCCTTTGAAGGAGAACCTGTCTGTTCTCCTGAGTACAGCTGAAGTCAGTGTGCAGCTCCTCTCCCAAACCAAGTCTCCTCGGGATCAGGAAACTTACTTTCACAGACAGACTTTGTTTTCATCCACATCTGGAATGACTCATGGTGCATGTGAGTTTGCTGGCAGCTGTGAGAATAAATATCATTACATTTTTGTAGTTGAGTTTCGTTTGTTATATGGGCCAGTTGGAATTTATTTTTGTCCAATAAACAGCCACAAGTAACTTCATTAAAGCACACTCTGGAATCCTAGCTCTGTAGCTACTCCTCTGTAACTTAGTGGGCTATACACTAACCCATGTCTAAGGCGAAAGGCTCCTCTGGAATGATGTACAGCTGCCCTTGGACGCTTAAGTTAGGGAGTGGGGCATGTGCTCTGCAAGAACATTTTGCTACTGTGATTCATATAATCACTCCTTTATTAAGAACATATAATGCTGTGCTTAGACTTCAGTTCTGCCACACAAGTCCTGGCTTTTTCCTTCACTTGGGCAGTGCAGAGAACAGGAAGGTCCAAATACTTAACTGGCTCTCTTCAAGGGTACTATGGGAACACAGAGCAATTCTAAGGACAATCTACAATAGCCAGGCTGGATGTAGAGAGGTGATGCTGAAAAAAAAGGTTACTGATGGACATCTCATTGACACCAGCCCAAGAGAAGACAACTCTTGAAATGTTTATCCCAAGTTGGAAATGTTTATCCCCAGAGAAGACAACACTGTAAATGTTTAGCCCATGCAGAGTGATCCAGCATGGAGGAAGCTGCAGGTATGTACTGTCTCTGGCACAGTGTTATCATCAGCATCAGGGGATTCTTTGTGGGAATACAGCACTGGAATAACAGCAGGTTGCTGTGTGTTGGAACAGACTGAAGAAAAATAGGAACACAAGCAGTATTTAGCAGAATCAAAGGACAGGGCACCCTGTTTGGTGCCTAGAAGTAATCTGTCTCATTTTCTTCTTTTAAAGGTGAGTGTAAGCCAGGAACAAATCCAAAGACATCCATGAATTTACACTGGTGTAAAACTGGCACATAAGAAAGGAGACTCCAGCTCAGAAGGTATAAATAGAAGAATTAAGGGGAAGGACCAAGAGTTGGAATGACAGAGTTCACTGTGGCTCAGGATTAATGGACACTGGCAGGAATGCATGGAGAAAACCTCTTCAGCTCCTGTCTGCCTCATGCCAAAGTCTAACCTTAGCCTCAGTCCCTTCATTCTTTTCTGTTCCAGCTTCAAGTAACACCATTTATAAAGGAAGAAGGAGGGTCAAATAAGGTTGTCTTGCTTAAGGCGACTCTACTTCTTTTCCTACATGTACAGATTTTCCTTTGCTCAGACTGCCTCAGGTTACTCCCACATGAACAGCACATGAATGCAAGACAGTATTTTACATTCCAAGGAGATGAAAAAATGCGTATTTCAAGCAGAGGGTGGCTAACTAACTCTCTGCTATATGTTCTTCTTGTTACCGTAACATTAGAGATGGGTCTGAAAGCAAGGTTAAAGCTAGGAGTGAGGTCACTCACATATATGTCTGGAAATTATGGAGCTGGTGTAAACTAGTTTTACATTCCCTAGAGAGGGGAAGAGAGAAAGAGAGATGCCACAAGAGGATGATTATTACTACTTAGTACAGATAAGTCACTTATGATGATTTGCTCTCTGGAGGAGGTGGATCCAGACATCAGCATGGTCAATTCTGAGAGGATATGCGTCAAGATGACATACATCAAGAAGGTGCAAGTTGCACCATAGGAAGGGAGTAATGATCTATCAACTGCTGAGGAATAAACATTGTATTATAACTCCTACTGGAAAGACTTCAACCAGTAGGGAGGGCTTGAGGAAGTACACTTTAATTTAGTAAACCACCTTAGTGAAAGCCCTCTAGCAAGTGAACACAGTGGGTATATATGGTTTCATTAACTTAACTTCATCAGCCTAGCTACCCTGGCATGACAGTCTTAATGTCAGCAGGGTTTGTGAACAAGATGTTTCAAAGTGAGGTAGACAAGGGAGAGGCAGCAATTAGGATGTGTGTTTGCAGGCTTGAAAAATAAAGAAGATTATGAGAAAACTTTAAATCCTGTGGGGTAGCAAAGGAACACATTTTCAGTGATGGAAGCTCTTCTGAGGTGCTGTATCATTTCATTGTTTGCATCTAGAGAAATGGTAGCTGATAAGAGAGGGTGAAGAAGGCCAGACAAGGTCTGTTTCGTTCTAAACCAGAAGGGGAACTAATTTGCCGAAAGGTTCCAACAGGATGGCTCTGCCTCCTGGCTGCCAGCAACAGGACACTTCCTCTGCTCATTCATTGTCACTGCTTTATGTATCCAGACTAGAAAGGGAGAGGAAAAGAATCCCAGGAATTTCATTCCCTAATCTTCCCCTCCACCTCCACCTCTGGAGCAAGCACCCTAGGAGCAACAGAAGAGCAGCAGCTGAGACAGAAGAAATGTGTGATAGGACTGGCATACAGGTCAAAGGGATATGAAGGTATGAAATAATTACTGATCTCTCCTCTTTCAGACACTGATGTTGCTCTGAAGCTACATTAAATGTGATTTTTAAATTATTATTTATTTCTTCTTGATCTGAGTCTGGTTACAGAATCCTCTCTTAGCAGCCTTTTCCTTATCTGAGCTCAAATACAAACTATCTGTGCTTCAAGGCCCCACAGTGCAGTCTTCACACATTCCAGCTTTGACTGGCTCCATGTACTATAACTGTAGGGCAAGTTTGAATTTAAGACTGTGAATGATGCACTCACATGTGTTTTATTACAGGAAATGCGGCTGTAAATATAACAGGTCCATGTAAAATAAAGAATGCTTTCCCTGTGGCTTGTCATCAAGAAGTATAAATGCCCCTTTTCTCCCTTAAAACTGGAGATCTTTTCCTGTCCTGTATGGATGTATATACACAGAGAGTCATATCCTCCCTATTAAAGAGCCCTCCAGATGAAGCCAGGAATTAAATCTTTCAAGCATGCTCATGGCACTTCAATTGTACAGCTTCTATTCATCTCATGACTATATTTTATTAGATGGTTGCTCAGTTTCAGCTCAAGGCAGTTTCTGCCTATGATAGAGGTTTGAATCACTGCAACTATAATGAATGCTGAAGCAGGGTAGAAATCCTCACTATTTATAAATATTAAATGCTCCTAGATTGCTTTGGAAGTGTCAAGCAGAGGACCTTGATGATGAAGAATTCATTCTGAAGATGCATCTGGTAGGAGTTGGTACCATGGTGCTGAAGCCAGGAGGCTGAGAGCTGGTCTGCCGGCTCAATATTCACGTCTTAAATCACAGAATCACAGAATCATCTAGGTTGGAAAAGACTTTGAAGATCATCCAGTCCAACCATTTACCTAACATGACTGTTCCCAACTACACCATATCCCTCAGTGCTAAGTCAAGCTTACTCTTAAACACCTCCAGGGATGGGGACACCACCACCTATCTGGGCAGCCTGTTCCAACACCTAACAACCCATTCTGGAAAGAAATACGTCCTACTATCTAGACTAAACCTTCTCTGGCACAATTTGACGCCATTCCCTCTTGTCCTATCACTTGGTTCTTGGTTAAAGAGGCTCATCCCCAGATCTCTGCAACCTCCTTTCAGGTAGCTGTAGAGGGCGATGAGGTCTCCCCTCAGCCTCTTCTCCAGACTAAACAATCCCAGTTCCCTCAGCCGCTCCTCCTCCTACGACCTGTGCTCCAGACCCTGCTCCAGCTTTGTTGCCCTTCTCTGGACACGCTCGAGTCATTCAATGTCCTTTTTGTAGTGAGGGGCCAAAACCGACACAGTCATCAAGGTGCGGCCTCACCAGTGCCGAGTACAGGGGTCAGATCCCTTCCCTGTCCCTGCTGGCCATGCGATTGCTGACACAAGCCAGGATGCCATTGGCCTTCTTGGCCACCTGGGCACACTGCTGGCTTATGTTCATCTGGCTGTCAATCAACACCCCCAGGTCCCTCTCTGACTGGCAGCTCTCCAGCCACTCCTCCCCAAGCCTGTAGCGCTGCTGAAAAAATCAGTGTAGTGCTAGACACTGTCACAGTTATGTTGAGGTGAATATTTATGTTTTGCAAATTCTCATAAATTTAGGTGTTCAATCTGCAGAATCTCCAGTGCCCCTGGTATCTATGAGACAGTCACAGGAAAGTTGTGACTGACTACAGGCTGTTTGGGGTGAAAATGGACATATACGCATCTCTCAGCGATATGATGAGTTACCAAGGGAGCAGCTTTTCCATTTGATTCCTCCATCCTAATGCTGTCAGTGAGTGTCTGTACACCCTGCTACTCCCACACAGTCTTTTTAAGACATATGGAAATAGGACAAGGAGGAAAGGAGTGGGTGAAGACCAAACAGGGAAGCTGCCAGCTGCCTTTTTGCAGCCCATGCACAGTGAGAGCAGAGAGCTGGTAGTGGTACTCCAAAGCTGTCCTTTCTTCGCTGTCATGGTGAAAGGACAACTTCAACAGGTTGGGAGTGTAGAAACTCTGTATTTCCCCGGGGATGCTCTGGAGTGACCAGTGCTTCAGGTGAGGTGCCTCTATGTCTTCTTTAGTAGCTCACTGTGAGAAGTAACGTACAATCTAAAAAGAGAATAGAAGGGGAAACAAGGCAACAAATAATCCAAGACCAACAACCTGTTGATCTTCCAAGAAAAATAATCTCTTTTTCACTGGAGAATACCAGCGCATGATGTCAGTCCAGCTTCGGCTTTGATGAGCTTCTGTCAAACACAAGGTAGGGTTCCAGTCTGCCCTGACGCCTCAGTCGCTGTGAGTGTCCCTTGCAAATCTTCTGTCAAACAAATACATTTTTTAGATTTGCCCTTGTTCATTTTGAACACAGAGTGTATGTGGGGAGGAAGTTCCTCTGAACCAGAATCTCTGCTCTGCAGTCAGAGCCCTGCCCTGCTCCATAGGCCATGCAGTATCTGCCGGCTATTGTGCCAGTGCAGTGGAACAATATTGATGCGTGACACAGACATTGGTCCCCTTCCCACCAGAGG